AGATAAAAATATTGACAAAAACAGAAAATCATCAAAAGATACGCAAACCAAACAGAATAACCAAAACACATACACACATAGCCTCCAACACACAGGTCACCACAATCGCCAATCAAGATCATAGCCAGGAAACCAACAGGAAACCAACGGTCTCTTCCGTCCAACATCCGACACGGGACCGCTGACACCCCGGAACGCACCAGCGCCCAGGGTGCCCGTGCCCCCTGAAGGCCAAAGCCCCAAGGAACACGTGCTGTGCTGCATCGGATGTCGAGACAGCGAGACAAGTAGAGACAGAATAGAAACAAAGTGTGAGAACGAAACCCTACACCAAATCACACCTGCACTATCGCATTCATCACCGGCTTCACCACCACTGACACAAAGGCGGAAACTGTTAAGAAAGGATAGAGAAGATCAACAGTAGACTGCATCCAGAAAACCCCGATGTTTTTCGAAAAAAATTGGTGATTCTGGCATTTCTGTGAAGAGGGATAGACTTCCGCATGGTTCGAAAAATGAATTTTGTATGATTTTGGCCAAGCACGGCCCCTATGAAAAGGTTCTTGACTGGCAAAGCCTATCCTGGTCCTTGAATGGTTGTTCTGGTCCAATCGGTGCTGGGCGTTCTGGGGGGGTCTCTCGACTCAGCCAAAAAAAATATCCAATGGACACATCTGGATACGGCGAAGCACAAAACACATCAAAACGCGTCAAAACTTGAAAAATATCACAACACCATATCGGCAAGGCAAGCCATGTGCTTTTTTGCACCGAGCTCAATCACACAAGCCCGTGCATCAGGCGGTGGGGTACCTCAGAGGTTCACGTGGCAAAAGGCCTTGTTCACAGTTCAGGAGTCATGATGGCTAACGCAAAAGAGCAAACGGCTCTGGGCGTGTGACGGCCGCAGCTCTGACTCCTCGCAGTTCTTCGCACGTCCTCAGTTTGGCCTCGACACAGACTCGACCGCTGCTGGCATCTCGCTGCTCCCGTGGTAGCTGTCCAATTTACATCCCTCTTGTGCGACTGCTGATACTTCCAACATTGTAACGCCGGTTTTCTCCCAAGAACTGGTTTCTGGTGACTGTATGGCTCCTATATGCCATAATTTCCAGTGCCGAATTCCGTGCCTCCAAGATGTGGGTCTTTCTGTTGGCTTCACCATGGATCAAAGCATCGAAAGCAGTGCCTCGCCACTGGGCCGTGTCACTGTTTTGCATTTTGCCAAACAGCTCTGGCTTCAGCGCCAGCAAGCACTCTCTCAAGTCTACATTTTCTACATTTTCTAAGGTGAGTCAATGTGCCTGCGTGGTGCCTGCAGCAAATGTCGCAGGGGGATATGAAAAGCCATCGAACTCTCCAGTCGGAGGTGGAGGCACTGCCATGACGACCTACGGCAAATGCAAAAAGTAGTCAAAGTTCAACAGCTGGACACAGGCTCAAGATGCTCATGTCGTCAGAAAGTTCCACGGCGAAAATCAGGCGATAAATCAGGCGATAGACGATAGTCAACTCCCCTCAGCATCCCCTCATCCCACTCGGAAGTGGAGTGTTTGCCACGAGATCTGTTGAGATCTGAGACTATTCAGACGTCAACCCTGGATTGGTTGTTAAAAAAAGGGTGGATACCATAAAAAAGTATCAGATTAATTATGACTATTGGGGAATACCCCCCTAATAAACCATGGTTTAGTCTCATCCGGGGTTGACATTATTCAGATCCTTTCAGATCAGAGGTGCCTGCCATGAATGGCACAGAGTCATCCGCAGCAATGGCTGCACCTTCCACCGCCTTCGATCGTCTTCGTGCCGCGGGTGCCTAGAAAACCACTCCAAAAATACATGGGTGACCGGTCTGGAAATGGAGTAGGAAAAACATGGAAAAACATGGTATAATATTTTTGGACAAAGCATGGCAAAGACATATGCCGACTCCGAATCTGCTTCTGCGTCGAGAAGCAGAAAAGCAGAGGGGCAGAGCAAAGCAAGGAACCAGGAATCCAAAACAAAACAAAACGGAAAAAAAAAAACTCAAATAAATAAGCCTCCAAAAAAAACGAGCGGACAAGCTGAAGTAAGGAGCAGAAGAGCAAAAGCAGAGAAGGGAAAAAAAGAAATGCAAAAAGCAAAGAATGAAAAAAGAAGAAGAAGAATAAGAAGAAGAAGAGGAAGAAAGACAGAGAATCAAAAGGAGACCAGCAGAGAAGCAAGAAAGCAGCCAATCAAAAAAGCAGAGCAACTAAAAAAGCAGAGAAGAAAAGAAGCAGAAAAGCAGAAAAACAAAGAAGCAAAGAAACAAAAAAGCAGAAAAGCAACAAAGCAAACAAGCCACAAAATATCCCCAAACGGTACCAAAAGCAGAAAAACAATGGAGCATCCAAACAAAACGGCGAAAAGAAAAAACAACAAAACTGGACCACAACGAGGCCATCAGTTGTTCAAATTCATGCCAGCTGCAGCATACCTAGAGCTCTATTGAAGAGGCACTGCTCAAGACCAAGTGGCATTTGCATCTTCTGGGGTTCACACCAAACTGATCCAACTGGGCCCCAGCCATCGCGCCTGTGGAGTCTGTGCGATGTGACGGTTTCTACGCTTTGTCCTCCACCTGGCAGCTTAGGCTCCAAAGACCGTTGCAGGGATGTCACGTTTTACAGGAAACCTCCTATTTTTGGGCATCTGAAGCATTCTGAAGCATTGTGTTCCTTTGGGATGTGAAATATCCTTGTGGGGCATCCCGGCCCATCCAGCATCTTTTGTGCCTAACTAACTGTGAACGACCAAAGTCCCGTCCAATGGAGCTGTTGACGGAGGTTTCTGGCCTAGCGGGCCTAGCGGCTTGCAAACCAGTGGGAATGCTGTGCCATGGCCTGGCCATGGCCACTTTGGCTCAGACTTTGTCAACATCCGTCACATTGGTCTGTGCCAACCTCATCCCACCATGTGACATCAACAGCTTCGCCATCTCAAAGCGGCCGTTAATTTCAGCAACATCCAGAGGCGTTTTGCCGTTATTGTCCTTGGCATTGACACTTGCTCCATGTGAGATCAACACCTTGGCCACCTCTACGCGGCCGTCAACGCAAGCATCATGCAGAGGCGTCCAGCCATCCTCATCCTTGAGATTGACATCTGCTCCGTGCGAGATCAACAGCTTCGCCGTCCCCAGGTGGCCATCGAAAGCAGCCCAATGCAGAGGCGTGCTGCCATGCAAGTCCTTGGCATTGACATTTGCTCCGTGTGAGAACAACAGCTTCACCATCGACAGATGGAAGCCGTTCATCGCAGCATCATGCAGTGGCGTCCAGCCATCATTGTCCGCAACATCAACACTTGCTCCGTGTGAGAACAACACCTTGGCCACCCGCACCTCTCCGTGGTAAGCTGCCCAATGCAGGGGTGCGTTGCCATCATTGTCCTTTTCATTGACACTAGCTCCTTTTGAGATCAACAGTTCCGCCACGTCCACGTGGCCCTTGACGCAAGCATCAGGCAGAGGCGTGAAGCCATCAATGTCCTTGGCATTGACATCTGCTCCGTGTTCAATCAACACCTTGGCCACCTGCACGTAGCCGTCGTAGGCAGCCCAATGCAGACACGTTTGGCCAGTATCCTCGGGCTTGACATCGACCTTTGCTCCGTGCTGCAGCAGTATCTCAGCGGTGTCCGCGTGATCTTCCGAGACGGCAAACTGCAGAGGCGTCCAGCCATCTCCGCAGTCAACGTCCACTCCCTGGCTCAGCAGGTCCTCCACATCGTGGCTGTGTCCATACTTTGCTGCCACAGTAAGGAGAAAACAATCGTCCCCGGAGGCCATTCCGGAAGCCATTCCGGCCATCGCAGCCGCCAGGATCAGCCATTGCCGCGTCATTGAGCGAAAACCGACGGATTTTGGAGTTCCCGAGAGCGTCCGAGCGTAAGGGTTCCTCAAAAAAATGAGGGGAGACCGGGAGATATATACATTTTGGACGTATAGCAATGCCACGTTTCTACATAGGATGCCAGTGTATTGTTCTGCTATATTCTGATCATCTCCTTCTTACATACTTAAATTATCTTAAGTCCAATTCATTCACTATAAGAGTCAAATATTCCCCTGAAATCCCCTGAGAGTTTTTACGCTCTTCTGCGCTCTCGGGCAATCTGTCGTCTAGCTTTGGATTTGAGGCACAGTATCGCTTCAGGGCAAGATGGGCAGCTCGACAAGCTCGACACGTTTCAAACAAGACTCACACCAATCTCAAGATATCTCGTTTGCGCGTCTTTGTGTTGAAATCAGGTAATTAAATCTGAAAAAACAGAATAAAACAGACCTGTTTCCCATATTTTCCCATCATTTCGCCAACTCTGACGCTGTCCGGTACAGGTACCGGGCCTTGTCGAGTCGTCCCTGAGCGATCCGTTGGACAAATCTGACGTGACGTTGGTACGTACCGAATGGGAAACGCTGGCTGCAAGATTCTGCTTCCGATCATGGGAAAATCATGGGATTTCTGGGATATGAAATATGTGAATGATATTGGGGATGTCAACACTGATGAACTACATTGTTGAACTACCATATTTGAATATATCTTCACTCGGACTTTACCCCATACCCAGCAAAACTTGCAGCAGCTTCCACGTCTGCAACATCGGTTGAAGCTCGTGAGCTGAACTTCCTGGGGTTAGTGAATGTTAGCAACGCGCCATCTTCACATGGGTAGACCAAAGTTCAGTGGCAGAATGGTTTCAGTTCGACATAACTACTGATTTGCACATTTTTTCCCTCGACCAGAATATAAGCACCGTGTCACGTCCCTTTGCGATTCCGAGATTTATACATCTGAGGCTCCCTACCCCGACGAAAAGAAAGATGGCAAGGTATCACCAAATAACCCTGCAACGAAGGAACGCTCTGGCTGCAGTTTCTCCATGTCTCATGTCGCAAGCATGTTCCAGCAGTTTAGTGATGAATTGTTTGCTTTTTGTGCTCTCAAGCTTGAGCCTCGTTCAGGGGTTTAGTAGCTGCAACCTTTGGCCTCACCTTGGAACTTGGAACTACTCGGTGGTGGTTTGCTTCTCAGTACCGCGGCATCAAAGGCAGCATTTCAATGACCAAATAATGGACCTGATACCGTAGATACCATACTTGACATTTTGGACTGCACCTACGGACAGATATCAGCTTCCCTCTACGCACTCTATCTCCGACTACGACTTCTTCCACAGTGGGCCAAAACACCCCCTGTCTGAGTCTGAATCATCGTTTTTCTCATTTAGAGTAGTAGCCTTTTGGGGCATCCCCCATTTCCCACTTTGGGACAACCCCCCTGCTCTGCGAATTTCCAACGCCACCTGCACCACAGTCCGCGCTACAAACTCTCCATTCGCCCCACCTTGTGACCTGCACAGAAAGCAGGGACACCCGACTCAGCAGCAACACATGCATCGCACTGATCCAGCTTTGCATCGCTTTGATGTGTGAAAGAGTTGGTGTGCCCGTAAAATCCACAACTTCATGCTCGGTTTCAGAAAAACCGATGACTTTGGGGTACAAACCCGTTGCTGTCACAGGTGTGTTTCCTCTAGACTTCAACGCATGTCCAGCCTCGCAATTCACGGAATTGCACCAGGACACTTCGCACCTGGGCCCAAGAATTCGCAGGAATTCAGTCGGATTTTCTCAGAGACGAAGCTGTGCTGGACCATCCGATCAAATACTCAGAGTTCCGAGGTAGGGCAGGGTAGACCGCCGTCCACAAGGTATTGCCGGACCCCAGGCTCTAGCATCAAGTTGCACCGAGCATGGCTGTGGGTCTGTGGGTCAAAAGCTAAACTTCACCACTGCAGCCTGTTCTTGTGGAACTGGAATTCCAGGGGTCAGTGCATTCCACTGGTGATAGCCATACGTCATCTCAGGTCTGAAACCCCGAAATCCTATCAGATTCTGTCCTATCCCATACAACTCCCACCTCACAACTCCTGAGCCCCAGCCACTCCTTCCCTCAAGAAAAACAAGTGCTGTCTTAGGGTCCCTGGCCTTTTCTGGATGCCGTTGCCCTGCTCCAGTGGGGTCGCAAGCATCCCAGCCACTCCTCAGATGCAGGTCGCAACACCTTTATCCATGTTGGGGGTCCCAGAGTGATATTTGGTCTATTCATTCTATGTTGTGAAAGGACATCGTTCGTAGTAGCCGCTGAATTTTGGGATTGACAAAACTCCTGGCAGCGGCAGGACCCCATGATTTGTTGTCAAGTAAGCAAATCAGCTGGTGGCACTGGTGGCTTGCGAGTTGAATTTTTTACCAAGCCCTAGCTTTCCAGATGGGAGCAACCAAAGTTTGCGGACACGGGACGGGGACCCGATCGGAAGCCCATGAACTTTGGCCTGGCTGAGCGTCCAAACGAGACTTCATAGTCTGCGCCCTGCCACAAGACCTGAAAGAAGACCTGAAAGGCACTTGAGCTTCAGAGAGACTCAGGGAGCAGGATACTCGCGAGTAACTCATGGTGGTTTGAGGCCAAGATCCCGAATAAAAAGAGGCAAGTGGCAAAGTGTTCAGTTTTAGTATGATTTATTGCTTATACAAACCGTTTTAATTGACTCATACCGCTTTATTGCTCCGCTTCTTCGGTGGTTTCTGAAGGGACGCCAGGAGGGGTTCATTTTTACAGTGTTTTGTTTTTTTGATAATTCACGTTTATTCATATCATAACTCATAACCTGGTGGCGTCCCCTTCTGGGTCAAAAATGGATGCCCAAAATGTGAAGATTATGGGAAAAACTTCAAAACTTCAAGATCATATGTTATGTTGCTGGAGAACAGGTCCAAAACGGCCACCACTGGTCATCTGGCTGTGGCGCAAAAGTTGGTAAAAATGCCGCCACCACACTGTCACTTTTGAGGTCCCCATAATTTTGAAGACTTCAGTAAATGCATATCTCGAGATCTTTCCTGGACCACCTCCAAAACATGCAGGTGTAATGCTGTGGCTGCCGGGTCTAACCCAAACTCCAGCGTTTAAAATTCTCAGCAGGCGGAAAAAAAAAAACAGTAGTTGGGGCGTCTCCCAAATCTTGGATGTTCATATCTGAATCCTGTTTCGGTGTTCCTTTATCTCATTCTTTTGAAGTCTCTTTTCAGCCTGATTTCAAAATCATCAGATGTCCATGACTCTGATCCTGCCGATCCATACCCAGCGTACCAGTCCCACAGGCTTTACAAAATGATTTCGACATGTTTCGACCCCTACCCACAGCTGAGTTTCCCATACCAAACATTGCTGTTGAAAGGTCACCAACTCAAAGCATGTCCGCACGATTTGCCTAGATTGTGCCGCCGGCAAAGGCAGACATCACAAGACATAGACTAGTGGATGAGACCACAAAACACAAAACACAAGGCCTTTCTGCCTCATAATCATATCACATCAACTCCAATATGCTGTTATATCAAATCATATCATGTCACATCATCTCATGTCATTTCATACCATGTCAGGTCACGTCGCGTCAGGTCACATCACATCACGGCGCATCACATCATGCCATATCACGTCGTGTCATGTCATTTCACTCATATCATATACGGACTTTCACATGTTCACTAGCCCAAAGATCATTGTGTCCAGTTGGCACCTGCGTTAAGACATCGCGAAGTCACATTCTCACCAGCCCAAAGATCATTGTGTGCAGTTGGCACCGGCGCTGAGAGATCATGAAGCCACATTCTCACTAGCTAAAAGATCATTGTGTCCAGTTGGCACCCGGCGGCAGAAGTAGGAGTAGAGTAGAGTAAAGCTGTGTAGAGTAGAGAAGCGTAGAGTAGAGAAGAGTAAAGTATAGCAGAGTAGGGTAGAGCAGAGGAGAGATGTGAGTAGAGTAGAAGTAGAAGTAGAGCAGAGTAAAGCTGCGTAGAGTAGAGAAGAGAAGAGAAGAGAAGAGAAGAGAAGAGAAGAGAAGAGTAGAGTAGAGTAGAGTCGCGTAGAGCAGAGCAGAGCAGAGCAGAGTAGGGTAGAGGACAGAGCTGAGTAGAAGTGGAGCAGGGGTACAGGTAGAGGTAGCGGTGGAATAGAAGTTGATTAGGGGTAAAGGTTGCGTAGAGTAGAGTCGAGAAAGTAGAGTAGGGAAGAGAACACGGTAGAGAAGAGAAGTTGCAATTTTGATTGTGTTTCGCAAGTCGTTGTTGGCAGATCGCATTGGAACTGCCACATCAAAGATGCGATTTGAATGTTAAGATTTGCACGAAAAATTTTGTTTTTCCGGCAAACAGAGGTTCCGTTGCGGAGAAAAGCTGGCTCGCGTGCGCAACGGGTGCTAGTAATGCGATGTGCCAAGAATGACTTGCAAAACGCAATCAGACTCGGAAGACATTACTGACAAGCAAGTACCCTTCGATAAGCTTGCGCAGCCATTCCACCACGATCTGCACAGACTGAAGTGCAAAACACGAAAGCACAGCATCAGCAAATAAGAGGAAAAGTCATGTGGAGACCTCAGTTTCAGTGCGCGCGCAGATCGAGCATGATCCCAGGCTAAAGCGCCGACACCCTTAGAGTACTTGTAATCACTTGCAAGTACGGTTGCAACCAGGTTGTAAGCTATTGTAATTTCCCTAATTCAGCCAAGTTTTTAAGTTTAAGAAGGTACTTACAACCTACTTATGCAAGTTGGTCACCCGGATGTTTTGTAATTTATTTTAGTTAATTTTCCAAAACAAAATAGATTTCGAACTTATAGCTAACTTAGCAAATTTACTTTTTTCGAATGTTCAAAATTTAGTCATGTACTTTTTAATTTTAGTCAATATTTTGGTAACAGAATGTGTTTGGAACACTTTCTTGGCAAAGAGTTGCTTTGAAACACCGGGGTTCATCGGGCCGCAAGTGCCAGACATCTTTTCTTGCTGCCACTATGCTGGGTATGGATTCATGTTGGTTTTGCTATATAGCGGCTCATTGAGCATCTTTAATGATGCATCCATATATATATATAATAAATATAAATATAATTAAATATATATATTTATTTATTTATTTGTTTATGTCTTTGCTTGTTTATTTAATGACTATTTATTTATCTGTCCATTTATTTTTTTATCTAAAATAGATAGACATAAATATATATATATATACACATATATGTTAGCTTTTTTTAAAGTCTCGTAAAAATATTTTTGTTATCTAGCGTACGTGTAGTGACGAGTGACATGAACGGGGGCATGAACGTGTGTGTGAACGACATGCGTGCGAGTGAACGTACGTGCGAACGTATGTATGTACGAGTGAGCGTACGTGCGAGCGAACGTGTGAGCGCACGTCCGTGCGTTTGCACGGTCACTCGCCACGCGCGCGCGCACGTACGAAAATAAGGTCGACTTGAGTCGACCTTATTTTTGCACGACCCTGCTTCTTTAGTATTGATTTAGTATTGTAGCGCTTTGCACGTACAGAAATAAGGTCGACTCCAGTCGACCTTATTTTCGTACGTGCGCGCGCACGCGGCCAGTGAACGTGCAAACGCACGCACGTACGCGCACATGTCCGTCCACTTGTACGCACACGTCCGTTCACTCGTTCGCTCACACGTGCACTCGTCCGTTCACTCGTTCGCCTTACGTTCGTCACCACGTCCGTTAGCCACTCGTACCCCCTACGTTCACCGCGTCTCTTGGAGCTTTAAAAGCATTGTTTACGAGGCTTTAAAAAAAGCTAACATATATGTATATATATATATCATTTTGGAAATGGGACTTGAAACATGCAGCAGCGGCTCATTGAGCCTCTTGTGTTCTTTTAGGGTTTGATAGGGTTGCAAGGGTTTTGTAATGGGCGGCTCGCTGAGCCGCTTCGGACACGGAGTTTCAAATTTCAATATCCATGGATGTTTCTGTGCTCAAAATTTGGGCGGCATAGGTTGGATTAGCTAGGTTGTAGGCATGGCCTTTGACAGGCTCAACGCCTTGGGGAATTACTTTGACCAGTTGGGATGGAATGAAAGATATACCCGCCCTTGGTGGATGAGCACTGCGGCCTGATTGCAAATGAGCTGCGCGCTTCGCCCAGCTTGGAGCTTCAGGGCGCTACAGCTGTGTTGGCGCTGATCCAGCAAAGTCAGCACCCGACCGAACGACACAACCGAACTCTTTTTGATGTCATCCATGGCAAGGTTGAAGCTTCGATAGGTGGCAGGGTTGTTCAGGCCCGAGCTCCAAATCAGGACTACTCGTACATTCCTTTGTATCTTACCAAGTCGGATTGGGAACAAGTGGTTTCCACCTCTGTCCAGTTTGTCTCCAAGCTTGAAGCTTTGGCCAATCGACTTTGGTCTTTGGGGGTGGGTCTTGAATACATCCAAGCCGAAAGTTTGTATCAGAAGTTGCTGGGGGCAACCGTTTGACACCTGTATGCGGTTTGCATCTCTAGCGCTGCTGCTGTGTGACTACGCATGGCTTAGCTTTTCGCTGAGACTTCAAAGCAGCTTTGCAGAAAAAGCGTGCTGTGTATTCGCTTGTCAATTGGAGCGGCCCATTGGGCTGCTTCCGTCACAGCTTCCGTCGCAGTTCAGAAAAACATCCTTGGTAAGGGCGGTTCTTTTTCCTTCCACACCGCTGAAAATGGGAATCACAGATAAGTTGGACAAAGGCTATACACTCTACCTGGTGAACATAAACAGCACACAGCGGCTTCAGAGTGCTGCTACACTTTGTTCTAAACAAGGCGTATGCATGGTCTCTCTTCTGCTGATGTTGACAAATCACGTCTGTATACTTTGGTGTTTTTGTATCGCAACTTGCGGCTCATTGAGCCGCAGACTGTGGCAAGTAAAATCCAAACACCATATGTTCTAACTATGAGTTTGGTTATACAGTACCGTACTGTGTTACAATCGTATTTTTCTTGCCGCTGTTCTCAAGAATGTTATGTCAGCCAAGAAGAAAAGAAAAAACAGTTTACCTGCCAGCCATGTTGTTGAAGAGACCCTGGGTTTGCACAGTGTGGCCGACGAATCTCAGCGAAAGATCCACATCGCAACTTGCAGAGCATTGAACCAAGAAGACAAGCAGGCTGACACGCATGCGTGGAAAGCAATTTCCGAAACAGTGCTCCCTGAGATTTCTACCCTGTGGGGTTGCCTGCTGTTGTTGATGGCACATCAGTCTCTTTTTACATGTGAAATGACAGAAAAAGCTTAGAAACGGTCATGCAGAAATGCAAGAACTATGCCAAGCTGGCGCAGCAAAAAATCGATCAGACCCCTGATATTGTTTTCGACTTACTTTGTTACAACGACGAAGCTTTGGCAGGCAATATTTTGGCACCAAAATCAGGCAAGAAAGTTTCATTGTGGTATTTTTCTCTACGGCAACTTGGATATCTTTGGTCAGACTGCGTGTGGCATCCATTATGCCTACTTCAGCAGAACTTTTGACAAGATCAAAGGAGGGTTCTCTTGCTTTGCCCGCAAAGTCCTTCAGGAGTTGCAGAACCAGAATTTGCAAGGTGGATTCCCCGCATGTTTTGGTGAAACAAGCACACTGCTGGAGAATTACGCTAAGGTTCATGCTATCTGACCTTGACTCTATCAGATATGCGACATGCCTTGGATTGCAAGGGAAATGCAGGTATTGCTGCGTTTTTTGCAAAAACTACATCAAAAGAGATACGCAGATTCCTGACTACAACGCGTACTTCAAAGACATCTCGACCCCCGACTTTCGCTTGTTTGATTTGCAGTCAGAGACGGAGATCTTTGAGGTCATAGATCAACTTGTGAATATTGCAGGTGGTCTTTCGAAGAGCGCTCTGCAGAAGAAGGAGACGGCCATGGGCTTCAACTACAACCCAGACGGGTTGTTGAGCGACCGGCTAGCTCGAGAAGCATTGCCACCGAGCGCATTTCTTCTGGACACCATGCATTTGTATTTCAGCAACAGCATCTGATCATGGGAAATGAACCGTATGTACAATGCTTGGGCCCAAACTGGGGCTGGTGATTTGCCAGGATTCCTTGACTTGGATTGGAAAACTTCCTTATTGCCAGTTTGCAGTGCAAGTTCCAGGAAACGACTTGCGGACGAATATATGTTCATCGGCAATTCATACAAAGGAAGTGCTTTGAACCTCATGGCCTTCTTCCCGTGTTTTGACCTCTTGGTCTTTGTTGGAGAAGGAGATGGCCAGCTTCAAGGCCTTGAGAAAGAGTACAATAGAATTACGACAGATTCAACATTGCCAAGGATCTCTTTCGGTTGACAGGCTACAGGAACTTCAAAGCATCCACCAAGGGTTGTTGATCAAAGCGTGGTCATCCAAATATGTGAAGCCTAAACAGCACCAACGCTTCCACCAAGTGATGCAGATGAAACGAATCAATTTCCACTGTGACGCTTTTGCTTCAGAAAAGAAACATTCAACGCACAAGTCCCCATTGGATTGCATAGGTTTGATCCATGGACACAAAAGGAGAAAGGATTTTTCTCAGTTGGTTTTGCGAGCAATTTGGCAGCATCATATTCCATCGCTGACATCGTATAAATTCGAAACAAAGCTGGTCGGACAGTCATCACCTTCACAGATTGTGTCCAATATCTTGGGCAAACCCAATTGTAGAACAAGCCGCTAGATTCAACATCTGGGGAATAACGTTTTCAGAAAATGATATTGTCTTCAGTTGGAAGAACGTACTGACTTTTGGTCGCGATGGAAATTCCATGGCAGCAAAGCCTTGCTGCCAATTTCGTAGGTCGGAACCAAAGCAACATGGTGGTTGAAACTGAATGAAACTTGTTGGCTTTGCTTGCGTTGAAAGAAACAAAAAGGCGTGGCAGTCTGAAGTCTGAACTCGGGCGGCTCATTGAGCCGCCTTGCGAGCAATTTCCCCAGGTCTGGTTTTACTAAAACCGAAGCGGCTCATTGAGCCGCTTTTAAACAAATTAGGATCAGTAATGACGTTTGTGAGGTGTTCATGGAACCGCACACGGGCCAATTCAAGCTTTTTGGGGGAAACATGAAATGTTTGGTTTTTGACACTGTTTAAAAAATAAGCTCGAAACATCATGCTTCCTGAAGCAGCAAAAACTTAGAGACTTCTAAGTTTTGCAAGTTAAACTTAGGGAAATTAGGATCTAAATTAAAAACTCATCGGTTGCTAAGTTTTCTAGGTTGACTTACAAGTAGTGCAAGTGCTTAAAGTGCTACAGCTTACTTATAACTTTCCTACGCCAAAACCGTCCGCCTAGTAGAACTCCTACATCAAGGATGCGATTTGAGTGTTAAGATTTGCACGAAACATGATGTTTTTTCGGGTCAACGGAGGTTCCGTTGCGGTGAAAAGTTAGCTCGCGTGCGCGACGGGTGCGGGGGTCGCCGCTTTAGCGTGGAATCATGCTCGGTCTGCGCGCACACTGTAGCTAAGGTCTCCGCATGACTTTTCTCTTCTTCGTGTATGCTGTGCTAGTGTGTTTTGCACGTCAGTCTGTGCTGATCGCAGTGGAACGGCTGTGACAAGGTTTCTCGAAGGTTTTATGTTCTTGGTGTCGACGCTGTTAAGGGGCCGTGTGCTGTCTCCATTTTTTCGGTTTTGTGTGTTCTTCTTGTCATTGTGATTGTGAACCGGGTGGGGGGGGTGGGGGGGGTGGGGGGGGGGATGTTAACGTTCTTTGCGACTGCAAGGTTCTCTTGCACTTCCACACATACGTCATGCTACGCTACTGCTAGTTTCTCTTGCACATTCACACATACGTCATGCTACGCTACTGCTAGTTTCTCTTGCACATTCACATTAACGTCATGCGACGCTACTGCTAGGTTTCTCTTGCACATTCACACAAACGTCATGCTACGCTACTGCTAGGTTTCTCTTGCACTTCCACACATACGTCATGCGACGCTACTGCTAGGTTTCTCTTGCACTTCCACACATACGTTATGCGCGGTACTGCTAGTTTTTCTTGCACATTCACACATATGTCATGCTACGCTACTGCTAGTTTCTCTTGCACATTCACACATACGTCATGCGACGCTACTGCTAGTTTCTCTTGCACATTCACACATATGTCATGCTACGCTACTGCTAGGTTTCTCTTGCACTTCCACACATACGTCATGCGACGCTACTGCTAGTTTCTCTTGCACATTCACACATATGTCATGCTACGCTACTGCTAGTTTCTCTTGCGCATTCACATACGTCGTGCTACGCTACTGCTAGTTTCTCTTGCACATTCACATACACGTCGTGCTACGCTACTGCTAGTTTCTCTTGCACATTCACACATACGTTATGCTACGCTACTGCTAGTTTCTCTTGCACATTCGCACATACGTCGTGCTACGCTACTGCTAGGTTTCTCTTGCACTTCCACACATACGTCATGCGACGCTACTGCTAGGTTTCTCTTGCACATTCACACATACGTCATGCTACGCTACTGCTAGGTTTCTCTTGCACTCACAAATACGTCATGCTACGCTACTGCTAGTTTCTCTTGCGCATTCACACATACGTCGTGCTACGCTACTGCTAGTTTCTCTTGCACTTCCACACATACGTCATGCGACGCTACTGCTAGGTTTCTCTTACGTCAATATTCATGTCACACAAAGTTTCGGAAACAAGGGTTGTCATTAAAAAATGCCATTTTATGTGGTAAAACGCTCAAAAATCAATATTTTCGGTGAACACTACGTGGTTTTAAGCTCATTGAAAACACCATGATATGATGAAAATGTTGAAAAACCCTCACGAAATTGAAATTGAACACTTATGATGGAATGTCGATCTTACACCACTGCACGGCCTCTTATCAACGCCGTTACCATGTTCTTGAGTAATGTGTTGCAATTGTATTGTGTTTCGCAAGTCATTGTTGGCAGATCGCATTGGAACTGCTACATCAAGGATGCGATTTGAATGTTAAGATTTGCACGAAACATGATGTTTTTTCGGGTCAACGGAGGTTCCGTTGCGGTGAAAAGTTAGCTCGCGTGCGCGACGGGTGCGGGGGTCTCCGCTGTAGCGTGGAATCATGCTCGATCTGCGCGCGCAGTGGAACTGAGGGTTCCAGGTGACTTTTTGTCTTCTTTGTTGACGCTGTGCCATGGTAGCTTGCATGTGTTGAGGCACTTTGTGCATTGGAACTGGTGCATCAAAGGGATATGTTCTACAGTACTGCGTTGCAATTCTATTGTGTTTTGCAAAACTGCCAGTGCAGGTCGCAGTGGAATGGCTGCGCCACGGCTGCTCGAAGGGTACTTGTTCTTCAGTTGCATCTTGCGGGTCTGACTGTGTTTTGCGGATCATTGTTGGCAGATTGCATTGGAACTGCTACATCGAGGATGCGATTTGAATGTTTGTATTTGCACGAAACATTGTGTTGTTCGGGGTAAAAAAAAGCTTCTGTTGCAGAGAGTTGGCGTGCGTACGCGACGGGTGCGGGCGTCGCCACTTTAGTGTGGAATTATGCTCGGCGCGCGCAGTGGAACTGAGGGTTCCAAGTGACTTTCTCTCTTCTTTGTTGATGCTGTGCTATGGTGTTTTGCAGCTGAGAATCGTAAATCGTATTGCAGTGGCTGCATGAAGGTTCTCCATTTTGACGCTAATGATTTTCCTTTTAAAATTCCTTTTAAAAAGTGATTCAACATCGTCGTTTTTCCGCTTGGGCGTTGAGATCCGGTTTTGGAGCTGCAATTTGTGTAGCCCGTGTGCGTAGCAGGTGCAAAAGCTTGCTCTGTGTAAAAGCTTCTCTGTGTGAAAGCTTGCTGTGTGAAAAGCTTCTCTGTGTAAAAGCTCCTCTGTGTAAAAGCTTGCTGTGTATAAAAGCTTCTCTGTGTAAAAGCTTGTTCTGTGTAAAAGCTTCTCTTTGTAATTAAAAGCTTCTGTGTGTAAAAGCTTCTCTGTGTGTTAAAGCTTCTCTGTGTAAAAGCTTCTGCGTGTATCAGTTTCCCTGTGTAAAGCATATCTGTGAAAAGAGGTGAGAAGAGTTTAGAAGAGTTGGCAAGAGTTGAGACAAGCTGGCAAGAGGTGACAAGAGCTGAGATGAGCTGAGAAAGTTGAGCTCAGTGAGCGGAGGTGAGACGCGGTGGGAAGAGTTGAGAAGAGGTGGCACGAGGTGAGAAGAGTTGAGATGAGTTGGGAAGAGTTGAGAAGAGGTGGGCCGAGGCGAGAATCGTTGAGAAGAGTTGAGAAAAGCGGGGAAGAGGCGAAAAGAGTTGAGAGGTGGGAAGGGGTGAAGAACTTTGAGAGCTGTTGAAAAGAGTTGTGAAAATTGAGAAGAGCTGAGATGGTCTGAGAAGAGCTGCGAAGAGCTGAGAAGTGTGGTCACAGTGAAAAGGGGTGAGGCAAAATGAGGACGAAGTCACAGAACAGAGTTGAGAAGATGTGAGGCTTCACTCCAGTTCCTATAGGCAAACCTTGTCTTTGGATCCTATGGCGTCACAGTCCTTCAACCTGGAAACTTCCGCCACCCGCCTTGCGCGGTTCTACTTGTATCATATCATATCATGTCATTTCATACCATGTCAGGTCACGTCAGGTCACATCACATCACATCATTCCAATCACGTCATGTCACGTCATCTCACTCATATCATATCATATCGCAAGTAGATGTGAAGCGCCAATGGCGGGAAGCAACCATTGTTTCGAGCATGTCATGTTCAGGTTAGAGCTTCATGACAGGCGCTTTTGGGCACGATCCAAACAAGTCAATGCATGTTTGCTATTTCCATATGAGTGCATAGTGGTCATTGAGACAGACAAAGAGAGAGTAAGCCAAAAGTAAACACAAGAAATGCAGGATCCCATCAATATTCAAAGAAATAGATACGGATGAGCACAATGTCAGCACCCACAATGGTGATGGACGGCAAGGAGAATTGGAACGAATGCGATGTCAGCTGCAAGAGGCGCGAGGACTATGCTTTGAAAACCTCGTGGTTTTGGCCTCGTTTGACACGACTCTTTTGCATAGCCCGTTTATCAGCTTCATATTAATCACGATCATTGTCGGTCCCGTGCGTGTTCATTCCACCAACACCACCACCGCTATCAGCAGCCACAACAGCCACAACAGCTGCAACAATATCAGTACAAAATCATCATGAACAGATGTAACACATGCCCAAATCGTGGCTCCAGGGTATATAGTTGAATTGAAAAACAAAAACATTTGACCTGCAACAAAAACAAATTGAAAACCTCCAATGTGGCCATTAAATGCGCTGGTATACCTTCACGTGGCCAACCTTCCCGGTTCTTCCACCTTTTGTGAGAAAACTCGGAGGACCAAAACGAAACAAAAAGCATTGTTGAATGGTGATACATGCAAAAAAAATGCAGCTTTGGGGTGAAGCAGGGTACTGAGAGCAAGACTCAGTCGTTAATGTTCATGTACATGTTGCGTTGATGATGTTCAGGGGTGGGGTGGGGTGGGGTGGGGTGGGGGTAGGGAGGGATTTTCATGTATATGTTCGGTTGACGACGTTACGCTGATGATGTTCAGGGGTGGGGTGGGGTGGGGTGGGGATATTGATGTTCATGCACATGTTCCGTTGTCAGGTTGATGATGTTCAGAGGCGGGGAGGAGAGATGTTCATGTTCAAGTACATGTTCCGTTGATGATGTTACGTTGGTGATGTTCAGGGGGGGGTGGGGTGGGGGTGGGGATGTAATTTTCATGTACATTTCCGTTGATGATGTGTTACGTTGGTGATGTTCAGGGGTGGGGCGGGGTGGGGACGGTTGTCAATGTCCATGTACATGTTCTGTTGATGATGTTACGTTGATGATGTTCAAGGGGTGGGGTTGGGTGGAGAGGGATGTTAGTGATCATGTACATGTTCCGTTGATAATGTTACGTTGATGATGTTCAGAGGTGGAGTGGGGCGGGATGTTAATGTTCATGTACATGTTCCGTTGAGCATGTTATGCCGATGATGTTCAGAGGCGGGGCAGAGGGATGTTCATGTTCATATGCACGTTCTGTTGTTGATGTTGCGTTGATGATGTTCAGGGATGGGGAGGGGTGGGGAGGGCTGTTCTTGTTCATGTACATGTTTGGGATGCTTCAATGTTCATGTACATGTTCCGTTGATGATGTTATGTTGGTGATGTTCAGGGGTGGGGTGGGGCGGGGTGGGAAGGGATGCTTATGTTCATGTACATGTTCCGGTGGTGATGTTACGTTGATGACGTTCAGGGGTGGGGTGGGGAGGGATGTTAATTGATGTTCCTATAAACGTTCCGTTGGTGATGTTAGGTTGAATTATGTTGAATTTGAAACAGGATCTCCACAAGATCTTCTCAAGGACCTGTACGAGATCATGCAAGGACATCTAGAAGATATCGCAGATCTTGTCGCAAGGACCTGCACCAGCTCATTCAAAGGCCTCTGACACCATGTCACTAGGACCTCCACAAGAGCGTGCCACAAGTAATTGTACAAGGCCTTGGCCAAGATCTTCACACCAGGACCCCCGAGAGAATCTCGCAAGATCGTCAGAAAAGGGCACAGAAGAGCTTTCATACAAGCTCTATTTCATGGCATCTGCAAGATCTTCATGCAAGGACCTCTTAGAGAGGATCTCAGCATCTCCACAAGATCTTCTGCAAAGGACCTGTATAGGATCACGCAAGGACCTCGTAGAAACCAGAGCCTCTTCAAGATCTGCTCACAAGGACCTGTGCAAGATCAACGCAAGGCACTCTTGGAGCACCCTGACCGTGCCGCCCATCTTGATGCAAGAATTTCTCATGAAAATGCCGCAGACCAAGACCGGGATAACCGTTGAGCCGGCGCAGTCGAAATGCACATGGACATGTCGCACGGGCAATTTTGCGGGAGAATTTGCAGGAAAAAAGCCGGAGAACAGATGGAGCACCCTGATCAAGCGCAGGCCTTAACCCTACTGCAAGAACCCCTCAGTGTGACACACTGTTTGGGGAAAAAAGACCGTCCCTAAATAAATCAAGGCTGGACCAGATCGAGGCCATCAGTTGTTCAAATTCATGTCACTGCGGCAGTCCTTTGGAGGAGAGAGTAACTGCTCAAACCCAAGTGGCATGTTGCATCTTCTGCGGTTCACACCGGAATCCATTGGGCAGCTAAATTCTCCCAAGCCAGCTTTAGATTGTTTCGGCCTAAGGTCCTCCGAATTCACACCGTGCCTGTAGTCTGTGCAATGTGATGGTTTCCACGCTTTGTCCTCCACCTGTCGCGTTGCTTAGGCTCTTCCAAAGATCATTACAGCATCGATGTCACGTTTCATTCACAGGAAAACTCCTAGTTTGGCCGACGAGTCAACAGCCGGGTAACTTGGTCACATCAAAATTGCTGGCAAATGGATCTTCATCCTGGCCCATCCAACATCTTCTGTGCCTAACTGCGAAGGACTTTGCCCCCGTCCAATGGAGCTGTTTACAGAGATTTCTGGCCTAGCGGCTTGAAAACAAACGCTGTGCCATGGCCACTTTGGCTCAGACTTTGTCAACATCCGTCACATTGGTCTGCGCCAACTTCATCCCACCTTTTGACATCAACAGCTTCGCCATCTCAAAGCGGCCGTTCATTTCAGCAATATCCAGAGGTGTTTTGCCGTCATGGTCCCTGACATTGACATTTGCTCCTTTTGAGAGCAATGCCTTGGCCACCTCTACGCGGCCATCAATGCAAGCATCATGCAGAGGCGTCCAGCCATGATCGTCCATGAGATTGATATCTGCTCCGTGCGAGATCAACAGCTTCGCCGTCCCCAGGTGGCCGTCAGCTGCAGCCCAATGCAGAGGCGTGCTGCCCTGAGAGTCCTTGGCATTGACATCTGCTCCGTGGGAGATCAACAGCTTCACCGTCGACAGATGGAAGCCGCTCATCGCAGCATCATGCAGTGGCGTAAAGCCATCATTGTCCGTGGCATCAACTTTTGCTCCATGTGAGAACAACAGCTTCACCACCGGCACCTCTCCGTAGTAAGCTGCCCAATGCAGGGGTACGTTGGCATCATGGTCCTTGAGATTGACACTTGCTCCTTCTGAGATCAACAGTTCCGCCACGTCCACGTGGCCCTTGACGCAAGCATGAGGCAGAGGTGCCCAGCCATCATCGTCCTTGGCATCAACACTTGCTCCGTGTTCAATCAACACCTTGGCCACCTCCAAGTAGCCATCGTAGGCAGCCCAATGCAGACACGTTTGGCCAGTATCCTCGGGCTTGACATCGACCTTTGCTCCGTGCTGCAGCAGTATCTCAGCGGTGTCCGCGTGATCTTCCGAGACGGCAAACTGCAGAGGCGTCCAGCCATCTCCGCAGTCAACGTCCACTCCCTGGCTCAGCAGGTCCTCCACATCGTGGCTGTGTCCATACTTTGCTGCCACAGTAAGGAGAAAACAATCGTCCCCGGAGGCCATTCCGGAAGCCATTCCGGCCATCGCAGCCGCCAGGATCAGCCATTGCCGCGTCATTGAGCGAAAACCGACAGATTTCGGAGTTCCCGAGAGCGTCCGAGCGTCCGAGCGTAAGGGTTCCTCAAAAAAATGAGGGGAGACCGGGAGATATATACATTTTGGACGTATAGCAATGCCACGATTCTGCATAGGATGCCAGTTTATTGTTCTGCTATATTCTGATCATCTCCTTCTTACATACTCAAATTATCTTAAGTTCAATTCATTCACTATAAGGGTCAAATATTCCCCTGAAATCCCCTGAGAGTTTTAACGCTCTTCTGCGCTCTCGGGCAATCTGTCGTCTAGCTTTGGATTTGAGGCACGGTATCGCTTCAGGGCAGGCAACTCGACAAGCTCGACGTTTCAAACAAGACTCACACCAATCTCAAGATATCTCGTTTGCGCGTCTTTGTGTTGAAATCAGGTAATTAAATCTGAAAAAAAACAGAATAAAACAGACCTGTTTCCCATATTTTCCATCATTTCGCCAACTCTGACGCTGTCCGGTACAGGTACCGGGCCTTGTCGAGTCGTCCCTGAGCGATCCGTTGGACAAATCTGACGTGACGTCGATACGTACCGAATGGATCCGAATGGGACACGCTGGCTGCAAGATTCTGCTTCCGATCATGGGAAAATCATGGGAAAATCATGGGATTTCTGGGACATGAATGATATTGGGAATTGGGAATGTCAACACTGATGAACTACATTGAACTACCCTTCTCTTTCAATTCATTCTGGCATGGTGCAACGCGGACAGCAACAAAAAATTGCACGCTAAGCTGCTATTCAAAAACCATCAATGACTCTGACCACTTGGTGTCTCCTTTCATTAGGAAAAAAACCCACACACCATGTATACATATATACCTTTTCCACCTTCATCATTGCCTTGTCCGGCTCTTCAACGCACTTGAAACTATGAACTCACTATGACTATGCATAGCACAGACTGTGCTCAATTCTCTTGTGCACTTTAATGCACTGGACACATATGTATCATTGCCAGAGGAATATGTAACTCAAAAATCAAAAGTTATACATGTCCCCATATCCATACTGTATATTTGCTCCCAGACTATAAACATAATAATACAAAGAAACACAAAGTAGAAACACAAAGCCCAACCAGAAAACACAATTTGGGTCATGGCCTCGAAGAGGTTCCAGGCATTCAGCTGGCAACGCTCCAAGCATTCCAAGCAAGGCACAGCATGGCTTAGCTCCTGCACAAGTGGAACCACGTGGCGTGCCATGTGGTGTGTGCCATGTGGGGCTCCCTGTGGGACTTTCTGTGGACGTGAGACTGTGCGATGCTGGGAGCTCCTCCAGGTGCTCTGCCAGAGAAAAAGAAGAAAGCGAAGCGAAGTGAAGAGCTCTGCGAGTTTTCAGTACGCTGCGCGCCTTGCCGCTGCTCACCATGTTGGGAGCTCTTTTAGGACTGAAAATACACGGCTTCCAGTAGTTCACAAGGGCAGGTGGGGCTTGGAGCTGAATGCTGAATCATAACGTGTTCAAATGTCGAGTTCAACAACTCAAGGCCCTTCTGAGCTTAGGCACCTTGTGATCTGAGTTCGCTGTTGGTACTCCAGCATCGAGGCCTGGAAGCATGCGAAGTCAATAAGCACTTCTGGTCCCCTCTGGAACTCAAAAACAGAGGTTTTTCTATGTTTTCTCTCACCTCCCGAACTCGAATCATTTGGCTTGTGTCAATTGTTCGTGTCCTGTGCTGCACACATCACATGACGATGCGATGGCATGATGATAATGATGAAGCAAATGACAGTCTCAATTACGATGACGACAGCAACATTGGTGACGCCGACAAACGGGAAGACAAGAACATCAACGCAGAGCAATGAAAATGAAGATCACGTTGACGATAGCGATGGCGACTGAAGTGATAACAATAACCATGATGCTGACAATGCAGCTGATGCTGATAATGGGAGCAACCGTGACTGTGATGATTAATCAGAATGCAGAGTCTGAGGTTGGGAAGAAGAGGACTGCGAAGAGGGGGTTTTAGACCAATACAGTCTGGCGCGTAGGTTGTGACTCATACATCTTACCCAGGTTTCCCTGACAGACGAAAAACATCAAGAGCCACGGCCTCTGGGAATGTTTTAAGAAAGCACGAAGTATACTTCAATTGAATTTGCTGCTATTTGCTCGATCACTCAAGTGAATTTGGGGGAGGCCATGCAAATTGACAACGGACCAGACCATCTCGGGGAGTAGACTCAAACATTGAGAAAGTAGACTCTACCATGTCACTTTTCGAAACCTCTGATCTCTGGAAAGGAACCTGCTGGTAGTGATCAACACGGATGCATCCACGCAGTTGGTTGCCTATTGGTTTTCGACTAATCAGTGCCACGATGTGCCAAGCACAAAGGTGTATACAACATCTGTTTGTCGATGGCCATCTCTTAGCTGTTTACCTTCACAAAGATTGTAGATACAGGAGTTTAAGTTAAGTAAGGACAATCTGTTTACCAAGAACTTAGTGGCGCTCTTTAGTGACCTTCTCGGTATCGCACTCAGCGGCGCACCTGTCGCTTCCACCTGGCGGCACTCAGCTGTTGGATCTGCCGGGCTGAGCCGGTCAGGTCAAACAGTCCCATAGCGTGGTCTAAGTGTTGGCTTAGACAACCCCTGATACATAGCCACTTAAATTGTCAGCCATAGCCCGCCATAGCCCGGAATGGCCAACCACTTAAGAATCGATGGTCATTATAATCATGGCTCAGGAATCAGCAAGAAAATCCATGGCAATTTGATGAATTCCGATTTCACTGCTTCAACCATCAACATCTTGTAACTTCAGGATGCAATTCTCAGTACCATGATGTATGTAGTTGAGCTTAACTTGTGATGGGTTGTACTTCTCCAGATCATCATACCATAATAAGCTCTAAAAATATCACATGAGCGGAGCACCGGTACAGCACTGCTGGCCTTCTCCAAGATTTCTTCATTCAAAGGCACAGTGGTCGCTTGATGGCCTGCACGATCTGGATCGGAACATGGGAATGCCTAAATCGACCGAGAACAACCTGCGTTTTGTTCATGGCTGCGGCAACCCCCAACGGACCAGTCACTGTGGAAGTTCTTCGAAACAATCAGCGACAAGGGGACCATGATGGGACCAATGTGTCACGCGTCGATGTTAATCGTCAGGACCTGCCCGGGCGAAAAGATGTATACCGTAAAATGTTCGATCTTTGAAATCCAAAACGTTGAAACACCACCCAACGTCACCCACCCCCAGCAACGGTTTCCGGACCTCCGCTGGCCTCGGCCTCCACAGCCGCCCTCGGCTCCGACACCCACAACCACAACCACCACAACAACAACAACAACAACAACAACAATTTCAATTTGTGTGGTGAGGCCCCGGCCTTCCATCACGTAAACGATGGGGTCCAGCAGTCATGAAAAAGATCTTGCACAGAGGAAAAAGTAAAGCCGCAAGATTCCCACCAACCATCAAAGATACTGCCCGTGCTCTTGTAGAAGTATGGGCCGATGAAACCAGAGTAATGCACCGACATCCCAGGAGGCGGAGTTTTGCGTTGTTTCTTTGCACGTTTCTTGCGCTGCGCGAAGCAGGCCCGTCCCCTTTCTTCGCGTAGCCTGCCAAGCAGCGCTGTCATGGACTCTGCCCCTGTTGAATGCACCAGTCCAAGCCGCCTCTCATTTGGCACAAGCTGAGCATACTCCTTTGCCACTGCGCGGTAGGCTGAGAGGTCTTGGTCTGGTAAACTTGCCTGGCAGGCTGGCAATGGAAACAAAAAAGGAGTACCTGAAATGGACTGCCCGTACTGCAACCAAGTTGCCGGTAGAAATTCGGAAACTTCGGCGGCCAGCCTTTGATCCACGTTTTAACCATTAAGAAACGATTACAATCACTGATTGCCCACGCCAAAAAGGTGTGTACAACCAGAACCACGATCACAATGTTGTACCACGCTGAAAACATTGCAAGCAAAGCTGGCAGTGATCAAGGGTGTGAAAAAAAACTGTTCTTGCGGCTGGCCAACTCTTTGCTGAAACCCACGTGTGGCCAGGTTGCTCAAACGGCATGCTGCCATATTGGACCACGGAACGTTCTTCATCTGTCCTCAGTTTGGAGGCTGAGCACGCAGCCAAGCAAAAATCTAGCCAGCAAAAGGCGCGGCAAACACACCGCGCCAGCTAAGAAGCACGCAATCTGAAAAGCGTGGAAGTCATCTTTGCCTCTGCGGGCGAGCACTTGGCACACATGCCACACATGGCAACACAATGCGAAACATCGTCATGCAACCACCGGCCTTGTGGGCTCACTCCCTTCCCGCTTTCTTGGAAAGTTCTGAAATAAGCTGCAGGCGTACAACAAAAAAATCAAAGCGGATTCTCTGCACAGTGACAAAACATATTTGCTGAGTCTGCTGCAAGGCTGCTTTTCCATGTTGCTCAAGAAATCTCAGCTGTATATTCTGCTCGAAAACACAATGAGGACGACCCGTCATGACTAAGTCGCTGGAATTCAAGTAGAACGCCCTCTGAAGAAGACTTCACATTTTTTTTGTGACGGTCGCTGGCTTGCATGGTTTTGCAGCAGTAGTGTGAGAGGTGCTGCGTGTCTTTTCGCAAGTCCAGAGTTTTTCTATATGCTATCGCATGCAACTCACCTCTCCAGGTAAACCACTAAGGCCTGTCACGGCCCGCGAGACGGCATCTTTCATGCCACCGTTTTGGCCACGGAATATGCAAACAACCGAAACTGTGGCAAATGTTGAGCACCAATTTTGAAGGTGAAACAAGCTGAAGTGCGCGCGTAGCAAGCGCGACATATACAAATACATTTATGTAACTGTATGTATATTTATGTATAGATATATATATATATATACATTCCTTAAAGGTTGGGGAATAAGTCACCGGTTAGTCACTAACCCTCGCAGCATCAGGTAAGCACAACCTTTTTCTCAACCCACATTCTCTATGTTCTTCCAACCTGTATTCCTACAGGATAATGCATTGGGTATGCCTATAGATCAATCAGCCCTGCTGATGGTGGCATTCTGTTCCAGTCAGGCTCAGATACTGGATCCCTCCAGGTATCATTCCACACCCGCTGGGACAGTACCACCTCCAATCTATAGGTATTCACAGATCTCTGTGCAAAAATAGACCCCGTCTGCAGCGCAGACTACAAGTTATGAGGATACCTCACAGAGGTCCTAATAACAGGGTGGGTCAAAATCTCCGATTTAGGGAGGGCAAGGAAAACAATGCTGCTATTTTGGATCAATACTTACTTGAGCCAAAATTGGCATTGATTTTACCTTATTTAACCAACCACCAAGGAATGACCACTGTCCACCCAGGCCTGCCAAACACTAGACAGTCATACATTCCTTAAAGGTTGGGGAATAAGTCACCGGTTAGTCACTAACCCTCGCAGCATCAGGTAAGCACAACCTTTTTCTCAACCCACATTCTCTATGTTCTTCCAACCTGTATTCCTACAGGATAATGCATTGGGTATGCCTATAGATCAATCAGCCCTGCTGATGGTGGCATTCTGTTCCAGTCAGGCTCAGATACTGGATCCCTCCAGGTATCATTCCACACCCAACGCACTAAATCCCAATGCATTTAAAGAAACTCGGCCGTGCGAATGATGGCCGCTGTGGGAAGATGCCAGAGAATGGCTGGAAAAGGTGCTAACTGCGCTGTGAAACCATTGGTCTTAAACCATGGGTCGTTCCATCCAAGTCGGCTGATCGAATCAGTCCAGTTACTTTTGGAAGGTACCCATTCCCAAAATATCCAGGTCTTATAAGCAAAAAGCAACTCGTGGATTATGCCGCTCATGACTTCCAGATCTGGGGAATCACTTCGTCCCTTGATCAACGTCATAAGGACCGCCACATTGTCAATGAACCACACTCCGCGCCTCTCGCGAAATTGGTGTGGTCTACAAACTAATGCTTGCAAGATGACAACCATCTCCAGTTGTGCAATCTTGCGGTCGCCTGGTTCCCACAGGGTATATACTTCCTGTGGCAAGTCTGCGATGAAAGCCTCCCTGGTGACCCCAGGCTGATCCATCCAGACGATGCAGAACCCCCCGGTGCCCTGCCCTGGACACTCCAGAGCTGCATCCGACGTACCTACAAACCGTAGGCATGGGGGAGGAAAAATGAAAAACTGACGTTTCGGCTTGTCCCGAAGTATCGCTTCGATGACTTCAAAACTCTTTAAAATTCGAGTTGTCAGGACACTGCCCTTCTCATACTGTCTCTCCTTGATGGGTGCAAGACCTTGAGCGCCAATACGACCATAGGTTCCTTGTTCGAGGAAGTTCATCATGCCGTAGATCTTGGAAGCTGTACCTGCATGTAGCCGGGCTGAGGTTCGACAATCACGCATCAAAGTTTTGATCTTGTCGATGAGGCGTCATGCCGTAGATCTTGGAAGCTGTACCTGCATGTAGCCGGGCTGAGGTTCGACAATCACGCATCAAAGTTTTGATCTTGTCGATGAGGCGTTGGCGGGGCCAAAAACTAATGGAGCCAGTAGAGTTCAAATGGGACATATCATGGTCTAATCCGAGGAAAAGCCCCTGGCTGGACATGGGCTGATGCTTCTCCACCCCAAAGGGGGTACCAAGGATCTCATTGAGGTGTATGAATGCCATCTGCGACGCCCCTTTGGAGCTGGCCCAATCTGCCACATTCGCATCATCGAAGTACATAGACACCAAACAAGCAAGAAGGCGTCGTCCCAGTGCTTCTACAAACTTGGAATAGCGATTGAAGCTTGTCACTGCCAGTGGGAGCCCAAAAAGCAAGGAGTTGTAGAGCTGGAAAGCAGGTTGCTGCCACTCATCATGCCACCAAGTAACAACACAGCCAAGACACTCCTCCCTGGAGATTGGACTGTGTCGATAAGCATCTGGCCAATCCTCGCCTCCGCTCTCAAAGTGGTCATGAGTCATGTGATGATCCCAGTCACTCTGGGACATCCAGCTCGCGACTGCTGCAACATGTTGGGCTGGTCGAAGTGCACTGCACAGTACCAGCTTGTTGAAGTCTGATGAAAGTGCCGATTGGCCGCCCACTGCTGCATCATCGATGATACGCTTCTTACCACTTGGCTGCACAATGACGCATCGTGGGATGAGCCGGAATGGGCGCCCTTTTGTGGCTCGTAAAAGCTCTGACCAAGTCATAGGCTGCGTGCCAAAGCCTTTATCTGCATCCACCAAACTCTGTGACAACAGAAATTCATCATGAAGACCAGGTCGCAGCTTTGCGATAATGGCTCGGTTGTGCTCGTCGGTGTCCGCAACTACATCGGCCAGGTGGATGATGCTCCCTTGTTGCGCTGGAAAGATGTTGTAACAAGGCGCCGTGCCAACTGCTGGTAGCCCCGTGATAAGGCCATAGGGATAACAGGTATCCCCCCACTGGGCTATCACCACCAGCAGTGCAGTCAGCCCCAAGTCCCTCTTGGTGGTGACTCTCGCGATTGCGTCTGTTTGGAGAGTGCGCAACTGGTCTGTTACTGGGGTCCATCGCCTCTTCAACTCCCGCAACATGCCCAGAGCTCGCCTCCTCCATGACCCCAGGGAGTCCTTCTCTTGAGCATGCATGTACGCGGCAAATTGGAGGTCAGTGTCCACAACCGGCGATCTCTCCGTCGGCAAAGGGTACTGCCCCACAGTGCAGGCGGCCTCGAAGTGCTCGTCTGGGTCCAATCCGAACGGCAGAAGAGGCGGGAGTGCCGCTCGATGATTCAGGCTCCCTGCCTGTTTGCCCTCAGCGTGCCTCTGCCGCAGTCTGGTAACGCCAGACCCCCCAGCAGGGTTAAGGGGACCATCCCACTCCAACCCTTGCGCCTCACGCCATTGCACGTAACTGCAGAAGGGATGCTGGTTCACGAGGTCTTCGATCATGGGGAACTTGAATCCAGAGAACCATTCAGCCGGGAAGAGCTTCCGGAAAGTTGTGACCACAGCTTCTTGCGTCCACCTGACGACCGACGAACCAGCCAATGTCGGTGCTTGCAAGGCAGCCAGGGCTAAACTCCCTCGCTTGGGACCCCGCACAACTCTCCTGGGTGGTATGCCAGCTGCCCGTGGGTGTGGGGCTGAAGCATTAGGGCTCGTGGCTTCAAACACCAAACCTGCTAGAACGTCCGCCTCACAGAGTTCATCCTCGGCGCAATCACACACTAGTGTCTTCCCCAACAGGGAATGGAGCTCTTGTCCGAAGTTACGTTTGATGTGGTCGATATACAAGGGCATTACTTCATCTGGAGCACAATCATGGCCTGCAACGAACGGTGACTTCCAACATGTAGTGGGTAACCTGTGTGAGTGATGGCCTTGCCCCACGTAGATGGCCCCTGCTGGCAACTGCCCCTCATGTAGCAGCTCTTTCACCCGACCCCGGCTGGGGATCCTTGCACGCTCCTGGGGGTGTGGTGGCTCCAGACCCAGCAGGATGGCCAATGGTGCCATTGCCCAACTCCGCATCGATTGCGGGTGCAGCTCCAGCCAATGCTCCCGGCGGCCCACCGCCTCCATAGGTGGCATCCGAGGTACATGAAGCACAGCTCGCCCAACTCGTACCGCCCACCAGGAAAGCGCAACTGCCAGCGCAAAAGCTAGGCCCGCGGAGTATTCCGCCTCCTCTTTCGACGGGTAGACCCGCTGACCATGCTCCGTCCATGGCCTCCACTCATCCCTCGCATGAGTGTGAGCGCATAGTGCCTTGGGCCATTGAGCTATCTCCAGGACGTTGTGCCTCAGCTTCTGGTACTTGCACCGTGCCGATTGGAAGACACAGGCAGAGTACTCTGTCTCCCAATACTGCCCCGAGTCCATCAACCTCTTCTCGTCGGGTAACTCCCAGTGGAGGCTTCGGCCAGGGTTCTCTCGAATTGTGGCGCCTCCACGCTGCACCATGGCCTGGATCTCTTCTAGGACAAATCCAGCTGCCTTGTTATCACGCTCCACCCTAGCTTCATCCTGGGGGTTCAGCCCTGGTAAGCCCTCTGGGTGGTCATTGGAGCGCAATGGCTTAGGGCTGGCTCTGCCATCGCTGAAGTGCAGTGGTATTTCTCGAGCCCTAGATTTGGTGGAGCAGTCCAATGCAGCCATGATGCAGTCAGCCTCTTGTAGCTGCTCGTGCAGAAGTGCCTGGCGGGTTGCATCGCTGAGGTCATGAGTGGGGTCCAGGAGGATGTCAATGGGCAATACTCTCCATCCGCACCATAACAACGCCTTGCTGACCGGTGCCCCTGGTCCACTCATGATGTCTGCTGCAAGGGGGGACTGTGGCGGCATAGGTGGAAAATCGACCCCAGAAGAGGCTGCCGCCTCCTCTCCGGGGCCCCTTCACTCCTTGATGTTGGATCGGCACGTGTGGGCCCCATGCCCAGGCGCGCCACAGACTCTGTCCCCCCGTGTGATAACTCCACATCGGTGGGCACCTGCAGTACATTTGCCCTTCTGCTTGCAATCTCCCCGTTGAAAGCCCTGACATAGGGTTGTACCATCCCTCATCACCTTGGCGACCCGCTTGCCGTTGATGGACTTGCCAAGGATGAGCTTGTTCGGAGATGCAGATGCATTCGCCACCTTGCTGTTCGGCACTGGCGCCATCGCAGTAGATGCCCCTGAGGGTTCACTACCCACAGGGGGTATCCAGTGAGCATCCCGTGCCTGAAAGACCTCTTTGATGATGACTCCCAGAGTCAGGGTGCTCTTCCTGAATCGGGATGTCCATTCAGCCCGTTCTTCTTGGTCTCTTGCCTGCA